AAAAAAAAAAAAAAAAAAAGTGTGCCTAAGAAAACACACTTTTGCAACCAGCTTATCGCAAAAATAAAGAAACCAGAATGACCACAGTTATCACCAAGGCCGAAGCCCTTAAGTCCTAAGCACTGCAAACTTGACTTCGGCGAGTCGTATCTCTTACTATGTAATGTAAAAATAAACTAAGTGCCACATAATTTAACAAAATTTATTTATCATTTTAAATGTCGCTCCTTGTCCCCAAGTCAAGATTGTAGGTATTTATCAGAGCTCAGCTTCACTCAGTTTTGGGGTGCTTTTATTAGTATCCCAAACATTATGTATATTTCTTTCATACTCTATTTACAAATCTTTTCAACCTTTGATGGCTCTATATGCATTATGTCTCTGGACAGATCTTATCGCTTATTTTATGTAAGTGCTTCACTCCTTCCTCCTCTGCAAGTTTTTCTCTCATCTAAATGCTCACTTAATTCGTTTCAACATCACCTTAAAGTTTTCTTGCCCCCACCTCATTCCCCTTGGTCAGGATCAAGTTCCTCATTTGTTCTCACTGACTCATGCTTTTTTCTTTAAACACTTCAACTTGCTGCACGCTTCTCTCTCCCTCTCCGGGAATCTTTACTTGTGTAAACACTATTACACTGTTTTTTAAGTACTTACAGACTGAAGGAGAAAACAGTTGGATTCCCTGTGGTGATTTTAGGGCATGAACAAAAAGGATTTCCCACAAGATGTAATAATCATGAAGATCACTGCCAGCTTTAATCCTTTATCTTCACTGTACATTGCAACAAGTGTCATCATCCACATGAGGCTATGAATGTAGGGAGGAAAATCAATCTTTTACTTCCTGCCGCATCAACACTGCAGCTACCACTGCTTTTGAAGTTCTGTAAACTGGACCTCAACTTCATTTAAAATTCATATTCAGATACCTGCTGCTTCAAGTCTTGGCTGCTGCAGTTATTTTTCCTCTGCTGTGTCATACTTTCTGCTTTAATGGAATATTTATCTTGCCACTTCTGTTCACATCTTCTCAACTAAAATTCATTCTCTCTCTTGTCTGCAGAATAGAATACATTGGATTCCCAAATTCCTATGAAATATTGTGAATTGTATTGAGGGGCGGAATCAGCCCAGGAGCACCCTACCACTGAGCTACCTCCCTGAAACTTGCGATACTCTTGCCTGAGCCTGTTTATAGCTGGGACTACAGGTCTGTGCCAACGTGCCTGACATGAGCTGTATTATAATTTGGTGGTGGCGGGAACCAAACCCAGAGCACTGTGCGTGCTAGGCAAGCACTCTGTCCCTTTGTCCACTGAGCTTATGTGCTTACCCCCTAAATCAAATATTAATGTGGTTAACAGCAGCTTTTTAAATTGTATTCTGGACCATCCTACAGATCACTCAGGGGATCCTGGATTATATTTCTTATGTAGAATGTTTACTTCTTTTACACTCAAACTTATGAGTGAAGAGAGCTTTGAGTTATGAAGAACTCAAGGATCAAGCAGGGCTCCCATACGACACTGGCCAAGTGTTGCTAAATAAGAAAAATAATAATCTCAATCATTTATAAATGTGAACTGCCAGGCACCAGTCACTTCCCTTTATTTTGTTTTACTTAATCCTCACAACAATATCACTTTGCGGAGAGATTATCCTTATGTCATACAAGAGGAAAAAGATCAAGGTATGTGCCTAAATTTATAAAGCTAACAGGTGACATTGCAATAGCAAGCAGAAACACCAAAATGACACCAGAATTTGGAGGCAGATTTACTTTTGTCAACGGGCACTGATTGGGATCACTCTATCAGGCCCAAAGCACTGGTGGTCTAGGGTTTTCATATGATGCACAAGGATGAGGTACAAAAGCGAGACAGAACAGCCCAGCAGCTAACAGGGTGAGATCAACAGTTACAAGGGCACTGATCATCAGTTTATGAAGCTTGGTACATGGTACAACCAGGCATCCTGTATGTTTGGTTACGCTTTCTTGGACACAGGGGTTCAAGAAAGTAATTACAAAGGCAGAAGCAGTTACAGAGCCAGGCAGTTTCGGGCAACAAAGTTTTTAAAAAAACAATTTTTCTTGTAAAGTTTTTCCCTTTCAGCATGGCTAGGTTGTCTCCACACCCCACACTTTTTCACAGGACAGAGCTCACCAGTTGGTCCCTGCCTGGTACCGGGAGGCAGCCTCTGTTAAGTTTATCTCAAGAACAGTTTTAAAGTATTTGGGAGGTAAATTGTTACTCAAATAGAGTAAATCTAGGGCAAGAAGCAAAGGGTAAATGTAGTGGGAAGCTCTGTAATCTACAGGCAATCATCTATGTTCAGGAAATGTCTTCCATTTTTCGTAAATTTCCAAAACACAACATCCTTTCTGTGTGTGTTTGTGGGCACAACTTTATTACTTTTATACATCCATTTCCCAAACAAGTCATATTTATTCATCCTTTTAATTCTTATCACTTAGCGTAGGGCCTGAAATATAGTAGGCATTCACTAAATACTTCATCCTCAAAGCATGCCCACTCATGCATCCATAATCTTCTTCCTTAAAGTAGGCTGATATTCAGCATTGAGCCTCCATTATATTTTGTGGAATATATAATTTCCAACAGACTTCATTTAAAGGTGATATACAGTTCTAGTATCAATTTCTAAATCCAGATAACATTCAGGTAATTTTATTGGGTGGTTCAGTCATTAAGACAAATACCAACCCATACTTGCCTGCACACCACAGATTTTACCTTCCCTTTGTCTTTATGAAGCTAAAGGGTTTATTTTAGTTCTTATACTCTATAAAAGCTCTGGTCCACGGAACAATTTTTAATCCTGTAAGACCTTTTGAGTTCAGTTTTTGTCACATATAAAAGCTGTGTGTTGAGACCGAAGATTATCTACTATCTTCTGTTCTATCACCATGCCTTTTTCTACTTCTTCATCTGATAGCAATAACTTGGTTTCTGAATCTTTGGTTATAATAACTACAAAAGACTGTATTGACTCAAGGATATTAGCCACCACCACTTGATGCTGATAAACTTCCAAAGCGTTCCGAGCACGACTAATGATGATGGAAGGGTCAGTCTCCAATTTAAAGGAAATTATAAATGCTTTGGGAGCCCAATCTTTAACTAAAGGAGAAAGCATTTTTGGCACCATCTTCATAGTTATCTGTATTGGAAAAAGAAAAGCTTAATTAGCAAACAGTGGTCACTACTGACCAGGAAATTAAAGAAATGAGGGACTCAGATTTTTGCCTACATAAGCAGATTTCTCACTACCAAATTTCAGAGTATGAAATACTTAGTTTTAAAGTCCTGCTTCCTGGGGTTCATAACTGCCTAAATACAGGACATATTCTGGCAAACTATTTTCTAGAATCACCCCTGCTCTGTACCCCATCATATTCTTAAACATTTCTCTATTAAATAAATAAAAAATTAAAAAAAAAAGCAAATCCTCAAATGAATACAAATATTATGTTCATGCAAATTTTACTTTGGCAGAAACCCAGTAAGATTGGGTTTTTAAATCTCTCAGTCTAAAATATTTCTTACATTGGTAGAATGGCTATTGGATTTCATTTACTGACAACTGGAATTGTTAGGAGGAAGAAATTACACAACTCAGTCCTGAGTATGTAACTTAATTTATTTTATCTCAGTTCCTACCATCTTTTCCTAATATCTTCAAAGGGAAATGTTATCATTTTGTGTACCTTCAACATACTGTAGGACTTTTAAAAATGTGGGAAATACTAAATACACTAGAATGTTTAAAAGTGTGAAATTCTAAGCTAATCATCAGGATTTACCCTAAAAGAGCTGTGATCAAGTATAAAAGGGATCATAGACCAGTTCCCCACTTTTTCTCCTCAGCACTTACTACCAAATATAGTATGCATCTGACTTCCCTTGATATATCTGTACCTGTATCTATATGTATACACTTTTTTTTCCCACAGTCTAAACCTCCAGCTCCTATGATAGTAGGTACACAGTGAATATTTACTAAAAGAACAAGTAAACTAACCCTGTAAGTGCCCCACAGGAAAAAGTCGTCATAAATAAACTCCACTTGTATCACCTAATAACTGACCTAGAACATCCTCAAGGTTCCAAGACAACAGGTAATTACAACACAGCACTACTTCCCCATACCTCTTCATCTATAATAGCCTCCAACTAATGTAATTCCTCCACTCTCTCTTACTTTTCAAAATGATAAAGAGTATCCTTTTCAAACAAAAACTTTTATCTCGTTTTTCCACTTATTCCCTTTGTCTGCACAAGATAAAATCCAGGCTTTTTAAGGATTAAGTTGGGCCAGGGATAGATATAGCTCAATGGTATAGTACCTGTCTGGGGTAAAATCTTGAGTTTGATTCCTGGCACCCCCCCCCCCCGAAAAAAAAGTAGTAAGTTTCCTATGAAATAAGCCAATTCTGCTCTCTAGCCTCATAAAAGCTCTTCAGTTCCAAACAACTGTGTAACTTCACTGGTAATGGCTTCCCCCACTTTTATTATACCCTGCGCTCATCTTCTAAAACTTTGGTCAAGTCACCTCCACTAGGAAGACTTCCTCCACTCCCCCAGTTCACTCCCTCAGGATCTGACTGCACTTTGTACATACCTCCACTACAGCATTTATCCCTCGGTATTGTAATTATGTCTGTATCCAGCTCCCTCGCTAGATTGAGGTCCTCGAGGGAGGGCGGTGTCTTTATTCATCTCTGTATCCCCAGTGCCTAGCGCATACAGAATGCAGAAAGGCCATCTCCAGATCAAGAGCAAATTAACCCGAGATTGGTTATAGGGGATCAGAGCTCTGGAAGAGAAGCGCCCATCACCTGCAGTGGGCCCCCAGATGACTGGATCTTGTGTTCAGGCATTTCAGAGACAGGAACATAGAAATCTGACACGGCCGCAGCCAGGTAAAACATCGCAGAAGGGCCTGCAAAGAGAAGCAGATGGTGTAACAAATTGGGGATGGTGTGGGGTCAGTTCCTTTTCAATTGGGAGGCCTTGCTGAGTCCGCTGGTTAAGCAGAAGAGACAGTGTAGGGGGGAAGGTGGCTGGGGTGCACCTCTGCTCTAGGTCACTCTTGGATTCCTAAGGCACCCACCTAGAGGGTTGAGTGCTTGCGCCGCAGCCTGAAGCAGATGCAGATAGTCCGCCAAAGTGGTGAACTCTACGGCCAGGAAGGTGCCGGCAGCCTCTGCCTCCTGATAGCTCCGCAAAGCCTCAGCAAAGCCGGGTAGTGCGTTCTCCTCGACTTCCAGGCTCAGCACGCCTGAGTGGGCTGGCCCGGAAGGTCGCAGGGCCGACAGCCAGGTCTGAGGCGGAAAGCGATAGGCATAGGGGAAGGCGGAGCGAGCTCGGTACAAGAACAGGACCCCATAACCCGCGGCCAGAAAGGCCTCCGCCGAGGCGGCGCCGCGCCGCCCGCTGCTGAAATTGTCCAGGAAGCGCACGGGCCGCGCTTCCAGAGGGACCTTGGTGCCACCCGACGTGACCAACACCACCCTGCGTCCCTGCGCGGCCACACGGCCGGCGAAGCGAGCCATAACCTCGGCCCAGCGCGCAGCACCCGCAGGCCGGGGAAACTCGGTGTCCAGGTCCATTTCCGCCATCGGTGCCGAGCGCCCCCGGGCTCGCGCACGCCGGGCCGCCGGCGCCACGCCTCTCCCGCACCTGGGAGTGCGCAGTCGCCGAAGCGAGCGGGCGCTCGGCTCCCAGCTGCGCCAAGCGCGGAAACGCGTGGTGTTCACCTCCAGGGTCTGGGGACGGTGGCAGGGAACCTCGTTCTCTGTCGGGTGGATATTTCGGAAAAGCACGTTTTGTCCGGCTAACGTCAGTCTGGGTAAAGAGCGGGCTGTATTTGACCCTTACGGGATACCGTACAGCGCTCCTGCCCTCAGATTCCATTGACGTTCAGGTCTGCGGGGGGTTTTACCTTTCCCTAGTTTCATGGGGTTTCTCTTCGCTCTTTTCTTTCGTTCCCTTTCTTTTCTGTGCTTTTTGGTTTCAGAAATAGACCCCGATGGCAGTACTTGCACACCTTCCCCCTTCGCCTTGAACCCCCTGGAACGCTACTGTCCCGCGGTGACACGTGACACCGGTGACCTGCGTCCGCCCCCCCCCCCGCAACAGTCCTAGCGACGGACGCCGCCGACCGCAGCATGAATGTCATCTACCCGCTGGCGGTTCCCAAGGGGCGCCGGCTCAGCTGTGAGGTGTGCGAAGCCCCGGCTGAGCGTGTGTGCACGGCTTGCACAGTCACTTATTACTGGTAGGCCCTGAGTGTGGCACCGGTGCTTCAACTCCTCTGTCCCAGGCTCGGGGCTAGGCGTGTGCGCGTAAGCCCAACCTCTGGTTCCCCCAGGAACCCCCTTAAGGCGTCTTCAAAACAACTCTCTTAAAAACTGTGGTTACTGTGAAGTAGCTCCCAACGTATTAGAGTTTTTATCTCACAGTGCAGACGCTGAAGAATGAAATCAAAGGCAAAGGAGGGAAAGAGTATCAAAATTTTACTAAGAGAAATTTCCCAAGGTATGAGGGGGTCGCAAAAGTGGCATAACAGGCTCTTTGTCTAGAAGTTTTTGTTTTTGTTTTTTCTTTCTTTTTTTGGTACAGGGTCTCACTCTGCAGCTCAGACTCCTAGTGATCCTCCTGTCTCAGCCTCCCCAGCACTGGGATGCAGGTGTGCACCACCACACCTGTTTTTGGTGGCTGGCATGACCTGTGGTACCAGGGATTGAACCAGGGTGCTTGCCCTTGCCAGGCAGACGCTTAGACTGCTGAGCTATCTCCCCAGCCCTAGGAGGTTTTCTTATACAGTAAAATCACATCACAGGTTGCCTTTGTTCAAACTGTAATCAACCGATAGGCTTACAAGTACAGTCACTTAACTTACAGTAATCGAATAGAAAAACAAGATACCATGGTAGAGAGAACAGAGATTTCTGAAAGAGGTAGCAATGAGCATCAGAGTGTTCTGGCCATCTGTGTACCGGTTTGTTACGTTATTTCTACATGTTTGTTGATTTATTTGGGCATATTGGACTGTGGGCCTAGTCGGTATCTCCCTCTGGAGGCCTAGTTTCTGTCAAGTCTTTTTTTCTTTTTGGATATTCTTACCAGAAGTTTATTGTATCTGTTTTGTCTACTTCTCAGCCTTGTA